CTCCAGACACCAACCCTCAGAGCTGGCCAGTCACCTGGAAAGTTTGCCTTCCCTTGGCCTTTCCAGCCTCTGGCTGCCCCTCCTGTCGCGGCCCTCAGCTCTCCTCACCCCCACTCATGTCGTCCTGAGTCATGTCCATGTTCATGCTCACCAGTGACTCCAACATGACAGTGATTCCCAATCCCCATCTCCAACCCCTGACTATTCCTCTGAATTTCAGGTTTCAGTCCTGCCTCCTGAATAAACGTCAACTCAGAGGTTTAGGCTTCTCAAACTCAACCATTTTCCCCAATACCTGCACCTACAGCTAATCCCCACCGGCCCTCACATCCCATCACCCCCCTGACCAGGCCTCATCTGGGCTCACCCCTTGCCTGCCAGTCCTCTCAAGTTTACCCCAAGTCACTCTAAAATTCATCTGTCCCCTCCCCTCTCTGCTGTCACTTCCCTGTGTTGGCTGCCCCCTGAACCTGCTCCACTTGACCTTGGCCTCACACTTTCCTAGTCTTAGCCTAGACCGCACCTAACCAATGCACCTCTCCCTGCAAACCAAGTCCAGGAGTCCCGTGACCACCACTCTTTGAGCAAGACAAGATTTCTGCTTCCACCCTCTATCAGTTGCTTCCTTACCTGTCCCTACTTCCTCCTTGCCCAGCACAAATTCCACCGCCCGTCATTATTCCGAAAGTGCTTAATTCCCTCATTCTTTCGCTGATTTAACCTGGCAAAATCCCAGTCCTAGCCCGTCATTATTCCGAAAGTGCTTAATTCTTTCGCTGATTTAACCTGGCAAAATCCCAGTCCTAGTTAAAGCCAGCTGTGCGCTTGCTACACAGCTGCACCTGTGGCTACAAATGATGATGCAAACATGTTGACTGCAACTACGCTCAGCTGGGTCTTGCCCAGCTGCCCGTGCAGCCCCAGCACTGCAGACCTTCCTTGTCCTCTGTGCCCTAGTCCTGCCTTCCCGCAGCTTGCAGTGCAATAGCTGCCCCTGTTCCAGCCTCAGGCCAGCCCTCTCCCTGTGCCTCGTGCCACCCTTCCTCCCTCTCCTCCAAGAGACCCCTCGGTGTCTCCCAGCAGCAAACAAATATGTTCCGGTAACTCACACCCCTCTCTACCTGTCCCCCCTTCTCGACTCCCTTCCCAACCTTCTGCTATGACCACTTTCTCCTTGAAATTCTTTCTTCTCTTAGTTTCTATGGCAGAGACGAACTGGTACCCCAGCAACCGGTCCCGTTCCCCCTTCAAACAGAACCCTGGATGTCTCCTTGGGCGGCCATGCGCCCTGCTTGATCTCCCAGCTCCCACTGCAGTTAAGAGGAGCAAGATGACACAACTTGGTTCAATAAAACTGAAGTGTGGAGGGACATGGTGTGTGTCTACAACAGCAAGATCTCAACCAGGTGGAAATCGAGCCGGAGATGAGTGGTCACTACCTGGAGTTCTCCATCACCTGCAAGCCTGTGAAGCCCTCTGGGCCGCTGGCTCCTCCTGCTGCACCCCCTCGAGTAGCCTGGTCCGCCAAGAAAGACACAGACTTCTCTAAGTGCTGGATGGGACTTCTGGGAAATCACCTTAAAGGGAAAGGGCACATCCTCCATCAGCTGGCTGCCTGGAACTTTTAAAAACTTTTTTAAAAAAATTTTTAGTTATCGATTTGAGAAGGGAAGAGAGAGAGAGAGAGAGAGAGAGAGAGAGAGAGAGAATTTGTTGTCCCTGACCAGGGATCGAACCCACAACCTTGTGGTACTGGACTGATGATCTAACAGTTAGCTTCTAACCAGTGGTTGGCAAACTCATTAGTCAACAGAGCCAAATATCAACAGTACAACGACTGAAATTTCTTTTGAGAGCCAAATTTTTTAAACTTAAACTATATAGGTAGGTACATTGTTATTAACTTAATTAGGGTACTCCTAAGGCTTAGGAAGAGCCACACTCAAGGGGCCAAAGAGCCGCATGTGGCTCTCGAGCTGCAGTTTGCCGACCACAGCTAACAAACTGAGCTACCCAGCCAGGGCGGCCTGGAACGTGAGTATGATGGCTGCGGCTCCAGCAGCTATCTTGCATCGCAAGGACAAGGCTATACCCTAGGGGTGGTGGAACTAAAGATGATAGGAGCCCGGGTTCCAGGTGACTTTGTAGAGTCACCATTCCAACCCTGGACGGCTGACTAGATCTATTTTTATCTTGTTTAAGCCACAGTAGTTTTGACTTTTGTGAAGCCAAACTGAATCCTAATTGAAATACTTTTTGTTTCAATGGACTCTCCTGGCCTCCCTTCTCATTCTCTGCTGGCTCCTGCTCCTCACACAGACCTCCAGAGGCACAGTGTCCCAGGTGATGCCTTCACACCCTTCCTCTCCTCTCACTCCTTCATTCTGTTGAAATCATTTACGTTCCCTTGTCTTTAATCATAGGCTTATGGCTCCAATCTGTATACCCAGCATGGACTGGCAGAAACAGTCTTTCACACATATCATTAGACACATTGATGTCTAATAGGCTCAAATTAGGCAGGTCATTTCAAAATCATTGACACAACACCCCCCCCCCCCCCCCATGCCCCATCATCCTCATCTCAGTAAGTGGCAGCACCTGGTTGCTCAACTAAGCACCTAGAAGCCCCTTGAGGCCTCACTCCATCACTCCCGTCATCAGCAAGTCTTGATGCTCTCTCCTTGGGAATCCCCCACCAAATATCCCCATTACCCCTGTGGTCCAAGCCACCACCAGGGCTCACCTGGTGGACTGAGTTCCTGATTCTGCTCAGGCCCTGCATTCTCCACACACATATTGTAAATATGTGGACAATTTTAAAGACAGGAGGACACTTTGCAGGAGGAAGCCTGCAATGGCTTCCCTCTGGTCTACTACTCCTCCAGATTCCCCTGGAGTTCTAGAAAATTCTCATTCTTCAGTTATTTCATTACAGGGCTAGAAGCACCTAGATTATAAGCATAGTTTTAGGTTATTGCAAACTTTTGAAATTTAATTTTTACCCAAATAATACTCATGGTATAAAAAATTCAAATAGCAATTTAAATAGCTATCCCTTCTGATATTTATGTTCATGTTTCTGAGCTATTTCTTTTTTTAAAAAATATATTTTATTGATTTTTTACAGAGAGGAAGGGAGAGGGATAGAGAGTTAGAAACATCCATGAGAGAGAAACATCAATCAGCTGCCTCCTGCATACTCCCTACTGGGGATGTGCCTGCAACCAAGGTACATGCCTTTGGCCGGAATCAAACCTGGGACCTTTCAGTCCGCAGGCCGACACTCTATCCACTGAGCCAAACCGGTTAGGGCCTGAGGTATTTCTTTAGCTCTTACCATAGAAGGGGATTTGACTGCGGCCTCTCCTTGCCCTTCCCTTCCGCTAGCAGTTATGGTACCACTCAGGGCTTGTAGTGTTTTGCCTACACAACTATTATTCACAGCTAAGCCACATGATATGCTCTGGATTTGCTTTTTATTGTACAATTTTTTTTGTTTTATTTTCTGGAGTTTTGGCTTAATTTTTCCATTTCTTGTTTTGTTTTCCATGCCACAATACTAAATTATCCCTAAATTCCTTGAAAAACTTAAAATTTCCTCCAAATACATCTTCTTGGAAACAGCCTCCTACTCTATTCAGGACTCTCTAGGTTTACTGCCCAGTGCCCTTCACCACCATCCTGAGTTATCCCTTTTCTCTCTCTCTTTTGTTGGAGTCTCAAACTGCCTAGATCCCATGTCTTACTTTCATTGCCTTACTCCCTTACTTTGACATACAGTCTTCAGGAGTTTTCTGAAAAAATGGTGCATGGCAGATAAATACAAATGACCTTATATGTCTGAAATTATTTATCCCACTCTTACACTTGATTTTTTCTGAAAAAATGGTGCATAGCAGATAAATACAAATGACCTTATGTCTGAAATTATTTATCCCACTCTTACACTTGATTAATAGTTTAGCTGGGTATAAAATTCTAGGTTGTAAATACATTTTAAAAATCAGACCTTTGAGGGCATTGATCCACTCTCTCCATTTCTAGTGATGCTGTTTGGGATGACCAATGCTTTTGTAATGTCTAATATTTGGACCATTTCTCTTTTCTCTGAATTGTATCTGTCCATAGTGTTCTATTTCATGATGATGGAGCCTGGCATGGGTTAAAATTAATTGCTTTGGACACTCAGATCTTTCAATCTGGAAAGTTATATCCTTAGTCCTGGAAATTTTTTTTTTAGTCTCTTGCTGAAATTTTCCTACCCGCCCCTTTTCTCTTCTGGAACTCCTGTTAATCAGATGTTGAATATTCTAGACTGATCCTTTTAATTTTCTTAAACTTTAACTTTCATTATCTTTTTCCCATTTTTTTTTTTTTGGAGATTTTCTCAATTTCAACTTGCAACTCTTCTGTTGAATTTATTTCCTTCATATTTTTAATCTTTCAAGAATTCTTCCTTATTTCTGAATATTTTTGTGATAGCCTCTTATACACTTAACCGTGGTAAAGGTGCTATGCTAGTTGTTCTCAACCCTAGCTGCATGTCATGTGGGTAGGTTTTACAAACTAATGACATCTAAGAATTACTTTAGGGGATATGATTTAATTTGTCTAGGGTGTGTCCCAAGCAGTTGTTGTTTTTTTTTTTAATTGGCTGTCTCATCTCTACTAGAAATAAGCATTTGTCATCATCTCCTGTATGTTTAGATGGAGGCCTGTTGAGTAGTAGGCATTTTCCAAGCAATTGTTGAATGAATGAATAAATGAATAAAGCACTGTTGTGTAAAGGAAGGTTGTAATATAAGAACAACTTACAAGCAATCTATTTTTGTTCATGTTTTCTCTAAATATACCTAAAAACCTAATACCTGACAATCAACAATAGTCTTGCATGTCAAAAGGTATTTAAAACTGAGAAAGTTAGCCTGGTCCATGTGGCTCAGTGGTTGAGTGTCAACCTATGAACCAGGTCACAGTTTGATTTCTGGTCAGGGCACATGCTGGGGTTGTGGGCTCGATCCCCAGTATGGGGAGTGCAGGAGGCAGTGGATCAATGATTCTCTCTCATCAATAATGTTTCTATCTCTCCCTCTACTTTCCTTTATGAAGTCAATAGAAATATATTTTTAAAAAACACAAAGTTTAAATTATGAAATTCCCAATTTCATCTTGCCTTTTAGGCAGTCTTTAACATATTTCCTGTGAACTAGGAAGTTCAAGTGTAATTGTTTTCATCTCAGTTTCTGCTGTGACCTCAAGGCAATAGTGACTTCATATCAAAGAAAGGAGCTGGGCCGATGTAGGACTAAGAAGGTGGCCCAAAGTGAGTTCACACTTCTGCCTGATCTTTAGCCTATGAAAGAGCTGGAAGCTAGAGAACAATTTTTAGAAGCTGGTGATATCCTGTGACTTCTACTACCCATGGAGGTAGATGGTGAGTGACTCTTGAGTCAACAGAGGGAGACCATGAGACCCAGGGGACAAAAGGAAAGTTATAAGGGGCCAGCCAAAGAGAGTGTATCATTCAAAGTAAGGGAATGACAGTTTGACCCAGTGATCCCACTTCTAGGAATATATCCTAGGAAACCCAAAACACTAATCAGAAAGACTATATGCACCCCTATGTTCATAGCAGCACAACTTACAATAGCTAAGACCTGGAAACAGCCCAAATGCCCATCAGCAGATGAGTGATAAAAAAGCTGTGGCACGTTTATGCCATGGAATACTATGCAGCAGTAAGAAAGAAGAGTCTCTTATCCTTTGAGACAGCATGAAGGGACCTGGAGAGTATCATACTAGGTAAAATAAGTCAGTCAGAGAAAGACAAATATCACATGATCTCACTCATATGTGGAATCTAATTAACAAAATAAACTGATGGAGTGGATCCAGAGAAATGGAAGCATGGAAGAGTGTAGAATCTCAGAGGGAAGATGGGGGTGGGTGGGAGGTAATCAATCAAAGAACTTGTATGCATATATGTATAACCCATGGACACAGACAACAGGGTGGTGAAGGCCTTGGGCGGAGGGTGGGGGCAGGCTGGAGGGGACCAATGGAAGTAAAAAGGGGGACATATATGTAATACTTTCAACAATAAAGATTTAAACAAAAAACAAAAAACAGCCCTACCCAGTTTGGCTCAGTGGATAGAGTGTCAGGCCTGTGGATGAAAGGGTCCCAGGTTCCATTCCGGTCAAGGGTACATGCCTGTGTTGCAGGCTTGATCCCCAGTAGGGGGCATGCAGGAGGCAGCCAATCAATGATTCTCTCATTATTGATATTTCTCTCTCTCCCTCTCCCTTCCTCTCTGAAATCAATAAAAATATTTTTAAAAGATTAAAAACAAAGTAAGGGAATGGCAGGTAGGAGGACAAGAGAAGTGGATGGAGTTGGGGGATAGGGGCAGGCCTTTGAAACTCATGTATCAGAAGCCCAAGCTTCAGTTTTAAACACACACCAGTCTCAGAGAGCCAGAAGTTCACACAGTATTGGTAAAGTATGAACTTCCCTCTCCCCATCTCACTGTGTCTTAGCAAAAGGGGACAAAAGAGGTGACAGTACAAGGTGGGGAAACAAGGTCAAGGCCAAGCACTTGCTGCCTCTCCCCCAGCCCCCACTGCAGGGGCAAGGCTGGCAGCAGGCCCAGGCTGGGGAAGGGGCGGCCTCTATCTCTAAATGAAGTTCAAAGGCTTTGTTGTTACACAGGACTGGACATCTCATCTGCCTACGGGAGGGCCTTCAGTATCTAAAGTGATGGGCGAAGCCTGGGACTTCCCTGCATTCCCTCCAGGGACGGGAATAATGAGCCCCAGTGAATAAATTTAGTGGAGACCTAGATAAAGTTGGTTTTTGATCCAACTAAGCTTGTTTAACATAACAATAGGTAGTACTTTGAATGTGTTATTTCCCTTCTCAATTGAATATGATGGATCAGCTAAAGTTCATTGACGTTGGATTGTCTACCAATTCGATATTTAGCAAGTTAATTTCTACCTGCTGCAAATGATTGAATTTATGGAGATCTCCATAAATTTTCTAGTACTTTACTAGAACCTGATAGTTTAGGATTCTCAATGGAAGTGTACAAAAGTAGCCCGGCTGGTCTAGCTCAGCGGCTGAACATCACCTATGAACCAGGAGGTCAAGGTTTGATTCCTGGTCAGGGCACATGCCCAGGTTGTAGGCTTCATTCCCAGTGTGGGGCGTGCAGGAGGCAGCCAATCAATGATTCTCTCTCATCACTGATGTTTCTTTCTCTCTCTCTCTGAAAATCAATTAAAAAAAATATTTTTTTAAGGTGTACAAAAGTAGTTGATCTGAGGGTCAAACATATGAAAGAGGAGGAAGCCTATAATTCCTAGAATGTTTTAAAACACATTTTTTTTTTTTTTTTGAGAAAAGGTGATACCAGCTCACAGAGGAACATCAGAATTTCAACAAAGAGTGCTAAGTGCTGAGGCGGAGGGGAGATGAATGATGGAGGTGGCAGCTGCTGCATTTTTCCGGAGAGGCAGCCACTTCCCTGAATTGCAGGCCTCTGTACTGGGACCCCAGCCAAGAGCTGTACCTTGGAGGGTGAAGTTCCTATCTGATGGGAATCGGAACAGGGTTGCATTTGGTCAGTAGGTGTGGATATGGGCTGGGAAGCAGCAGAACTTTCTAGAGTACTATGATCTTGAAAGGGGTGGAGATAGGTTAACAGGTGTACAAATTTGTCACTTAAGTGGTACATTCAGGATTTGTGCATTTCACTATATGTAAATCTTACTTATCTACCTTCCAAAAAAAGGTAAACTAGTTAATGATATGGACATTGAAGTGTTTAAGAGTGTGTGCTAATCTGTAATTGTCCTTTGAAAACACCAAGATGGATGTCGGAATAGACAGTTATGTGATAGATATGGCAGGATATTAATTGGAGAATATATAATTATTTCAACTCTGTATGTTTGAAATATCTCATAATCCTGGGAGCAGGCACACCCTTGTTATAGTCAAATGTACTTCAGAAACCCAGAAGCCATGCCCAGGATAGTGGTCAGTTTATAATGTCAGTAGATACTGTATTCCTGTACACATTCTACTTTTTAAAATATATATATTTGTATTGATTTAGAGAGGAAGGGAGAGGGAGAGAGAGAGAGATAGAAACATCAATGATGAGAGAGAATCATTGATCGGCTGCCTCCTGCATGCCCCATACTGGGGATCAAGCCCACAACCTGGCCATGTGCCTGTTGACCAGAATTGAAACCCGGACCCTTCAGTCCGCAGGCCAACGCTCTATCCACTGAGCCAAATCGGCTAGGGCAGTGGTCGGCAAACTCATTAGTCAACAGAGCCAAATATCAACAGTACAACGATTGAAATTTCTTTTGAGAGCCAAATTTTTTAAACTATATAGGTAGGTACATTGTTATTAACTTAATTAGGGTACTCCTAAGCTGGCCTTTGCTAAAAACGTCCTCAATCTGATTGAGGTACGTTTGCTGAGGTCGACCCCTTCCAACTCTCCCATCCACACTCGTTTTGTATACTTGTTTCAGATACCTCAAAACAATGTACCTCCCCCGTGCGCTGCGTATCCCGCAGCCCGCCTGCGCCCCGTCTCCCGTTGCCCGACCGACACCCCCCACTTCTTCTAACGCCACTTCTTC